AATTCTGATGCATAGGGGCACATGTACCCCAATGTTCATAGCAGCACTCTCAACAATGGCCAAAACATGGAAAGAGCCTAAGTGTCCATCAATGGACGAATGGATCAAGAAGATGTGGTTTATCTATACAGTGGAATACTCCATGGCAATGAGAAAGAATGAAATCTGGCCATGTGTAGCAACATGGATGGAACTCGAGGGTGTTATGCTGAGTGAAATAAGTCAGGCAGAGAAGGGCAGATACCATATGTTTGCACGTATAGGTGGATTAGGAGGAACTTAACAGAGGACCGTGGGGGAGAAGAAGGGGAAAAATAGTTGCAGAGAGGGAGGGAGGCAAACCATGAGAGACTCTTGAATGCTGAGAACAAACTGAGAACTGATGGGGGAGGGGGAGAGGGGAAGAGGGGTGATGAGCATGGAGGAAGGCACTTGTTGGGATGAACACTGGGTGTTATATGGAAACCAACTTGACAATAAACTATTTAAGAAAAAAAATCAAATTCCTCTACTTATATCTTTTCTTTCCTTCTCAGGGGCTTCTTTCTGTTGTCTGCACTAGCTCTACTCCACCTCTGTGGTGATTAATTCCCATCAGCACACAAACACCCTACAGAATCATCCATCTCAGAAACACAAAAACTGCCACCATGATGTCTTTCTGCTCTTCAAATATGTCAAGGCCCTTCTGTCCTCCAAGCATGTGCTCATATCCACCTATTTAACTTGGAATATTTTCCTTAGTCCTCTGCACAGTTGGTCTATTCTCAGAGCCACTGTCTCAGTTCAAATTAATCTAAGAGGCTTTGTCTAGTCGCCCTCTCTCTACCTCCTTCAATCCCTATCACATCACACTCTATAATTTGTATCAAATTCTAAAATTGACTTATTTATTCATTTACTTACTTCTTTACTTCATTAAATGTAAGTTTATAGGGCAGGTATATTCCCAATCTTGTTTACTTCTGAATGCATAGCACGTTGCTTGATACACAGGAGAGATTTAATAAACCTATGTTCAGGAAACGAAGGAGTGTTATGTACCAAAAGGAAGAAAATTGTGAGGAATAGCACAAAGAGATGGGAGAAAAAACCTCGCTCTTCTGCCTTTCCCTGGTTAAGTTTTAGAGCCTCACAAAGTTGGGGGTGGGTACCTCTATTTCCCTCCCTTCCTCCCCACAGTGAGTAGAGAAGGTTGCGGATATAACTATCCCTTACATTTACCTTTGAACTCCGGTGGCATTTTTTTCAATTTCTCATTTTAAAGAAGTGCTACTTTTTAGTGATTTATTTGATTTATGGAGAAATATTTTTTAATGTTATCTGATTTATGACATAATTTATCAGGTGTCTATTTTTCAGCTGTCCAACCCTTCATTCCCCTTAAAATCAGCTTGTTTCCTTCTTTTTTTCTTTCAAAAGCTTTTGCTACAACCCACACCGCTTCCTTTTGTTCAAATTATTATTACTTATGTTTCAGTAGGGGTTATTTTTCTTGGACCAATTATTTGCTTACTCCCTATTGCATATGTTTTCTGTCTGAATTGCATATTCTTTTCCTAATGGAGTGCGAGAGCTTAATATCCCGTATTGCTTTATCTCATTAAGTTCTATCTCATTGCCTCATTTTGTGGTCCCATTTTCTGTAATTAAATGCTCCTCTAGGAAGGGGAAAATTTTTTGATTTTAAGAGCATTTTGTTTAACAGAATCATGTCTGACTTTAGTGAATTATAAAGTTTTGAAATTAAATAAGACCTTAGATCATGTACTGCAAAGCTTTCCCCGACGCATGCACCTCTTGTAATATCCCACTATGGTGTAAACATTCTGTTTGTTGTGCTGTGCCCCATCTGTCATCATTGTGCCTGGCATATAGTAGGTGATCATCAAATATTTTTGAATAAATAAATGAAAAATCTGCATTTGGGTAACATAAGTTTTAAATTCAAAAATATGCAGAGAGATACTTTGAGACACTTTTTCAAATATGCCTGAGGAAACAAGCACAAAGATGTTCATAGCCCTTTTTTTTGAAAAGTAAAGTACAATAGAAATACCTACCAGTAGGAGAATATATAAGTAAGTGCTATATATTCCTTAAGTAGAATCCTAAACAGTGGTTAAAGTGAATGAACAACAGATACACTCATCAGCATGGATGAGCCTCAAAAATAAAATTTTGAAGAAAGAAAAGCAAATCATAGAAGAGTGAAAAGGAATTACTCCATTTTATGAAATTTTAAAATATATCAAAAATACAAAATAGATGTTTAGCAAAATATATGCATAGCAAAAGCAGAGACAATAATGTGTTATTAATAACAATAAGTTATTGTTTATACTTTGATCATGATGAACAAGAAATTCAAAGCAATGTTTTCCTGCTGCTGATGGGAGTGAGTTGTAAAACTTACTCATCGAGGCTATAGTGAGGCTTCATGGCAGTACTTAATTTTTTTTTCATAGTTTTATTTTTATTTTTGAGACAGAGAGAGACAGAGCATGATGGGGGGCAGGGCCAGAGAGAGAGGGAGACACAGAATTCGAAACGGGCTCCAGGCTCTGAGCTGCCAGCACAAAACCCGATGCGGGGCTCGAACCCACAAACCGCGAGATCATGACCTGAGCCGAAGTCGGACGTTTAACTGACTGAGCCACCCAGGCGCCCCAATATTTAATTTTTTAAAGTATGTGTTTGAAAACACAGCCTTTGTTTTATTTTTCATATTCTTCTATATACCCCAAATATTTCATAATAAATGCAAAACCTCAATGGACTTAAAAAATGGCATAGGAGGCTCAAGGAGACATTCACTGAATTTGAGTAGGTTCCCTAACGTCATAAAATATAAATTTTATAAGTAATATATGAAAAAAAAATTTACATTGTCAATAACATCTTAGATTTCAACCGGTATAATTTGGTGTTAAGTATTTTTTCCCGAAATTTTGATTCTAGTTATTAAAAACATGAGTAACTATCATGTTTAAGTCTTTGTAACTGCTTGTTGAAAGAAAATAGTATGAAAATGTTTAGAGTAAACTGCAAATGTAGTTAGAAGTGTTTGTAAGAAGGCTGAGTTTCTGATAGATGGTCACAGAATTTGAGTTACAAAAGTTACCTGGTTAAAAGATGAATTCTACATTTTATAAATGCTTATTATACATTTGGTAGTAAATATTCTAAATGAATTACAGATGTTAACTTCTTTGGTCCTCAGTAAGAACAGTTATTATCTTATTTTGCAGAATAAGTAACTGAAGTACAGAAAGGGGAAGTGACTTGCCCAACGCCCCACAGCCCAAGAGAGGTGAAAGCACAGTTATAACCAGGTTGCCCAGCCTCAAAGTCAAGTCTATTCACTGGCAAATTTCCCACCCATCTTTAACAGTGTGGCAGCAATAGAGAATCATATTTTTAAAGCTCTTTCAAAGGTAATACATTATAGTTTTGTAATACATTACAAATATAATAATATTTATTATATATTAATTTATATTTATTATAATATAATAATATTATATTAATGTATAATGTAATAAATTATAGTTTGGTAATACATTATATTACTTTTGTAAGAGAAGGAGAGCTCTGAGTGCAGGCTATGTGCCTAGTAATTTGTTCTGCATCACTAAATCTTCCTAAGAACCTTATGAAGCAGGTATTATTATTACTCATTTGCATAGACATGTGGAATGAGGTAGGGAGATAGAAATAACTCCCCCCCACCCCGTGCTTCATGACCAATCAAGGCTGGATTCAAGCCTATAAAATTGGATTAGAGCCAGTAGAGCTTGTCTCAGCCTGTGTGTCAGTTACTATTAGTGCAAAAGCAAAACAAAAATGAAAAAATAAAAACTTATAAAACTCTTAATTCGGGGATATGGAGAGACGTAGAAGAGGGTCTTCTATGGGGTAGCAAGTGGAACAGAAGCGACTAGCTCTGAGTGGATTACAACACTACCACACAGCGGCCCAATTTGAAACTGGCCTTCCCAAATTTGGAAGTGCGTTTCAGGCTTGAGGCTGGGAGCTCTGGGTTTGGATGGTTGATTTTGACAGATTCCCTTTAGACGAGGGATTGGGAGGGAGGGCTACTCTCTATCGCCCCCTGGTGGAGGCGTCCGCCACTGCCGGGGTTATGCAAGCGACCCGCCACTGGGGAACAAATGCCACCTTTCCGCGCTGGGAACGGTCTTGCACTAGCGTCCTCGGTGCTGGGACACAGAGCCGGCCTCAGGCCCCAGGTCCGACCTGCCGCTCGGTTTTGTCCGATCCTCTTGGTGCTGGGTCAGGTCGTTTGGCACCGAGATCTGGAAGCATGCGTGTGATTCGGCTGGGGCATGCGACAGCAGTGCGGCCGCAGCACGACGGAAGGGACGTCGTGGGCACAGCTCTGTCCGCCTCCAGCGCTGCAACCAGCCTGGGTGTGCGCGCTCCGGGCCTGCGGGCGCCGGATCCTGGAGTCTCCCCGCTGACCGCACGTCCGAAGGTGGCTGACTCCCGCGTCTCTGGAACGTGCGGCGGGGGGTCTGGGGGCTTAGGTATAACTGCCTTTCGCTAAAGTCCCAAAAAGGGAGAGGAACGAGTTGGCGCCTTTTCCTTTCACCCCTGTTTGAACGGGGATGGAAAACGATGCACAAACTAGGGTTCCTTCCTGGACTCTGGAAGTGGGTGCTGCAGAGCAGGCGGGGGCGCGGCCCCCCAGGTTGTCCTCCGGGGTGCAATACCGGCCTGACCACCCAGGCGCCAGCCTCCCTCAAGTCCCTGAGCCCCAGGCTTTCTGCTCACACCCGTGGCAACAGCCGGCAGCCCAGACGTGCGGGTCGACGTCAGGGTCCAACCACGGGTCTTCTGCCTCCTCCCCTTCCTGCTAGTGGAGCAGGCAGAGAGACCCTCACCCCAAACCCAACCTAGCCATCTAGCTCTGGCGGGGGGGGGGGGGGGGGAGGGAGGGGGGGCAGTGTGGAGAGAAGGCCTTTTTTTTTTTTAAATTATTAATTCAAAACCTATTTATTTCCATGCACAACTCTGTCAAATGGAGAAGATTAAGAGGAAAACGGAAATAGAGGAATGGGAGAGTCAAGGGTGGTGACAGTTTCTCATTGGCCGAGTTGTGGTATTTTCTTATTGGTTGAGCTTGTCTCTGGGCAAGCAGAAAAATTGCCTCCCACCTTGCTGGAGTAGTAAAGTAGGCTTCTTCTCTTGGGAATACAGGGCATATCTCCTTCTGTTGGGGTCTGCAATGGACAAGGGATAGGGCGTAAGGGCTTCCCCTTCTGGGCGCTTAGTCAGCATTTTGAAAGAAATTTCCTTTAAGTTTACGTTGGAGGGGGCTGGTGAGAAGTTACTCAGCAGGGTAGGGACTTGAACAGCAGGAGGACAGGAAGGATGTGTGCAGCAGAAGGTGATCCAAGCAAAGAGAAGTAGGCTGGGGGAGGATGGCCTAGGCAGAGGGGTGGCCCGAAGCAAGGTGTGTTTGGGTGACCGGAGGAGATGAGTCAGAGCGTTTCTTGGAAGTGTAGTGCAGACCCAGGTTCCTACTCTTTTCATTCTGCTGCAGCCTTTTTTCTTTTAGTAAACATTTTGCTGTTTATTTCTTTTTCTTAATAACTGTATTCTCTGTCCAATCAACAGTAACTTTGCATCAAATAATAATTACCTACACTTTTATTTATAGATTTTTAAAAAGTCTGGTGCACCTGGAGGGCTCAGTCGGTTAAGCATCCGACTTCGGCTTAGTTCATGATCTCACAGTTGGTGGGTTGGTGGGTTGGTGGGTTCGAGCCACATGTTGGGCTCTGTACTGACAGTCAGCTCAGAGATTGGAGCCTGCTTCAGATTCTGTGTCTCCCTCTCCCTCTGACCCTCCCCTGCTCACTCTCTCTCTCACACACACACTCTCTGTCTCACACACTCTCTCTCTCTCAGAAATAACTAAAACATTAAAAGTTTATTTTAAAGTCAAATGGATTATTTCTATAGTCTGCATTATTAATTCTTGATAAAGAAGATAAATGTAGCAAGTGGTTCATCCTAAGTAAAGCATTCTTCAATATTCTCCTTGGTAACTGGCTCTGTTTTGGCATTTTTTTCCTCAATATTTCCCCTCAATATTCCATTTATTTATCTTTAAAAAAATTTTTTAAAGATATTATTTATTTCTGAGAGAGAGAGAGAGAGACAGCATGAGCAGGGGAGGGTCAGAGAGAGAGAGGGAGTCACAGAATCTGGAACAGCCTCCAGGCTCTGAGCTGGCAGTCAGCACACAGCCCGATGCAGGGCTCGAGATCAGTGAGATCATGATCTGAGCCGAAGTCGGACGCTTAACTGACTGAGCCACCCAGGCATGCCTCCATTTGTTTATCTATATCTATCTATATCTATATATGTATCTATATCTATATCTATCTATATTATTTGAGAGAGAGAGAGAGCTGATGCGGGGCTCGATCCCATGACCTGAGCTGAAATCAAGAATAGAACGCTCAACCAACTGAGCCACCCAGGCACCCCATCAATATTTCTTTTAGTAATAAAGTAATGCTGTGTGGAGATACAAGATAGAGGAGATCACTGCTTTGGGATAGCTTTTGATCAGTTTGTTGAGATTTACACAAACGGGTTAAATTGTAAAGCAACATATATGCATATGATACAGGATATAGACTGAAAGGTATAAATGGCAAGGGAATGTAAAATAAAAGAGTAATCAAAGAAAAATGGATTTCTGGATGCCAAACTAAGTTCCATATATTGCTTTCTTTTCTGTGACATGCATATTGGGTTTAACAGTTTGGCGCATTGGAGGCAGTTTGTATCAATGAAAGTTTTAGAATGGAGTTTCCTCCCTGCATTAGATCAATAAAATCAATAGCCTGACTTAGAGCTTAGCTGTTTTAAGTTACACAGTGGTAGAGTAGACATGCAGGTTGTTTTGTTTTGTTTTGGTCATTCTTGAGGCAGAAACAGACCGGCTGGAGCAAGGGCTCAAGTACACCAGTCAATAATGTGGCTGACAGGTACCTTGTCCTTGAAGGTCAGAATTTCCTGCGACACATTGAGTTACTCTTACAGGGCATCTGTCCCCATGTCCTCCCAACCAGCCATCGGTGTCAGTGAATCCACAGACTGTAATGTTGACCATACTTCTGAAAGATATGCTACTTCAAATCATAAGACATTGTGCATTTTATTCTTTATTTGCTTCAAGAAATTTTTGAGGAAATTACAAGGAATTCTATCAATTAATATGCTATTTCCATCACTGAGAAACATTTCTGTTGAATAGATTAGTGGTTCTCAAAGTGTGGTCCCTGGACAAGGTGCATCAACATTGTCTAAGAACTTGTGACACAAGCCAGTTCTCAGACACCACCCCAGACCTCTTGAGCCAAAAATTCTGGAGGAGCGGCAACAGAATGGTCCTGCTCTGAGCAGCCCCTGCAGCCACATATGGTATGGGAACAGTTCATGTCTCCAAAGAAGGGTTGTGAGGGTGGAGCAGACAAATACGCAGATTATTCTGCTAACAAATGATTTGGCTACTCATACAGTTTTTCTCCTCCTCCTCCTCATTTTTCTTCTTCTTTTTCTTCTTTAAAAATTTTTTTTAATATTTATTTACTTTTGAGAGAGAGAAAGGGAGAGTGGGGGAGGTGCAGAGAGAGAGAGAGAGAGAGAGAGACATGGAATCTGAAGCAGGCTCCAGGTTCTGAGCTGTCAGTGCAGAGCCCGACACGGGGCTCGAACCCACAAACTGTGAGATCATGACCTGAGCTGAAGTCGGATGCTTAACCAACTGAGCTGCAGGCACCCCTCCTTTTTCTTCTTCTTTAGCAGGCTGCCATGGTTTTAAAAACACAAGGATCAGGTAATACTTAAAAGATTGTTTTCTCTTTACAAGTGTTTATTTCCTAAATAGAATTGTTGCAATGTGCAGAGTATCTAGAAAAATAGCATCCATGTCAATGTAAAAAAAATCACATAATGATTATTACTAATATTGTTATTAATTAAAATTAAATCATTACAAAAAGGAACATATGACTCAACTAGCTTCTTCACACTTTGGGGCTGATGGAATAAGGTAAGCGAATGTAGAAACAAAAGCAAATGTTCTTGTGTTATGGGGAAAGATTATTGTTAGACATACTAAAAAAAAAACTAAAAAACTAAAAAACTAAAAACTAAAAAAAAAAGCAATTCCTAAGATTATTAATGGAGAAGAAAGAAGCTGCTCAGCAGGCATATATTGAAAACAATAACAATCTCAACATGAGTCTCAAAGGCATATAATTAGCTTAGGGAAAAAAATTGTTTAGACCAGTAGTTCTCAACTCTGGCTGTATATTAAAATCATCCTTTAAAGCACAAAAGCCCCCATGACCATTTCCAGAAGCTTAGTAGTGGAGCCCAGTGGGTCTGCTGTATCTCACAACTCCATGGGATTCCATTCACATCATAATTATATGCATGGTGCCCCTTGAAGTTGTTCAGTGCACAGCCTGTGCAGCTAGAAGCAGTGGCCTGACCATCATTGTTGTTGTTGTTGTTGTTTTTTTTAAAGATCTCCAGTGTTTCTGTTTTTTTAAAATGCTTACCCAGACTTGTAATCACTGAGTGAGACTGTCCCTTGTCTCTTATTCATACACCTAGCTTTGGAGTGCCTTTCTGTGATTACTTGTCCAAGTTCTCTTTGTGAAACATGACCTCACTGGTCTAAAAAATGTGATGGGTGAATTGGGAGTATTGAACACACAGAATCATTTGCTTCAGTCTATAAATGTGATGGATGACTGGGAGCACTGCATCTAATTCCAGGGCAAAGGTAGGAAGACCTATATTTGGGTCATGTCTGTTAACATTGAAAAACACAAACCTGTCAATCACAAATGACTCATTTCGATTTATCTACAGTAATAGCATATGGTAGAAAAATTCATTAGCAAGTAATTACCCTCTGTCTGTGCAGTACAATGCTTATTGCCCAATCATCTCCCTGATTTTCTTTCTTTCTTTCTTTTCCTTTCTTTCTTCCTTCCTTCCGTTTTTTTTTTTTAATTTGGTAAGGCTAGGGCACGAACATTAATTTTAAAAAGCAAGAAAATATGAAAAACAAATCAGGTTATTCATAACCAAAAATTTTAAAGAGAGGTTTATGGGGTTTTTTAATTTTATTTGTTGAGGTACCTCTTCTATATTATGTCTTAGAAATAAACGATGAAGAGGGGCATCTGGATGGCTCAGTCTGTTTGGTGCCCTACTCTTGGTTTCTCCTCAGGTCATGATCTCATGGTACATGGGATGGAGCGCCGTGTCAGATTTGCACTGACAGTGCAGAGCCTGCTTGGGATTCTCTCTCTCGTTCTCTCTCTGCCCCTCTCCTGCTCATACTCTCTTGCTCTCTCTCTATTTCTCTCTCTCTCTTTCAAAATAAGTAAACATAAAAGAAATGATGAAGAGATGTGAAAATCAAATTTGGAGTAAATTGTCAGTTTAGGAAATAAGCCCTGAGTTGGTGATACTGAAAACTATTCTAAAAAAATACATGTTTGTGTAACATGTTTTTAGGCAAATATTTATTTTAGATTTCATATATTTAACTTCAGAACAAATTGTGTATTCTATTCTATTTTATACTTTATTATTTTATTTTATTTTATTTTATATATTAAGTAAGCTAAGCATACAGCTATTCCCACATGCTTCTTTTTGTTTGTGTAACTTGTGAACTTCCTATAAAATGTGCCAGTTGCTGACACTTGTTTTTTTTTCCAAATAAGATTGATTGATTGATGCTGCCTTATATGTTTATATATGAATCCTTAATATGTTCTTTAAAGGGGCAACTGTTGGGGTGCCTGGGTGGCTCAGGTGGTGGAGCGACCGACTCTTAATTTCAACTCAGGTCATGATCTCATGGTTCATGAGATTGAGCCCAGCGTGGGACTCCCTGCTGACAATGACAGAGCCTGCTTGGGATTCTCTCTCTCCCTCTCTCTACCCCTCTCCCACTCATGTGTGCACGCTCTCTCTCTCTCTCTCAAAATTAATACACGTTAAAAAAAAATTAAAAGCCAGCTGTAAAATTTGGAAAGCTCACCATTTGCTCAAACTTCTATCCTAAGAGGTACAAATGAAGATATGCATATTAATTAACTCAAAAGACAGTAATCCTGCCTACCATGATACTATTCTATGTGTATTGTGTCAGATTGGCTGAATTTGCAGCTGGACTGAGACAATGCTGTGCTTAACTGCAGGAATGTCTGGAAGACTGGCATGGATCCCTGGGCAAGATAAGAATAAAATATATAGTTAATGATTTATAATGTGCTGTTTAATGTTCAAAAAAGCCCTGGAGGCAGCATGGCTGGCTTCTCTGCTGCTGACGGATGTATGAATTGATGGTTTACACCTAGTGTAATCATTGAACAGCCTAGGGTGGCCGGGTGACCAGTAAGATATAAAAGACCCCAGTGTAAACTTGCACTTAAGTCCCCCTGAAATCAAGACATGTTTGGTATTTACTGACAACGGGCCCCTGTGTGCTGGTCTGCAAGTCTGAGCCTCTCTGACTCCTTGGGCGTTGTTTCCCTCATGTACCATACCCTTTAGTTTTCTGGAAACTTCACATGAATAGTCTGTGGAGTCTTGTGAGTCCTTTCAATATTTGACCCTGCGTAATTGTTGTAGAGGCTGTTTTCACTTTGCTCCACTCATTAGGCTATCATGAATGCGTAAATAAAAAATGTACCTAAATATAAATTATAATCCGGCATACTTGTACACAACACTGTTCTTGATTTGAATGAATGGTTTTAAATCTACATTTAACTCTTTATATACTGCTTGCTTCTTTTGTTGTTTTTACACTTACGTCTTTGTCAAAAGCAGTTAACCATATTTGGACTACAAGATGTCTGCTTTCTGTGACAAAAGATGGTTCCTATCACAGAGTTTGTTCAGATGATTTGCATATTATAATGGCTTGAGCATATTGGTCAAATTCTAGTCCACTTGTCTAGCATTTAAATCAACCCTAAGTAGGTTCTTGATACTAAAAGTGCCTTTTCATATTATAAAAAAATAAATTGAGATAAGGCAGGGGTTTTTTCTTTTAATTTTGGTAATGTTGTTAAAATGAAATTGGCTTTAATCTGTTATCAAAGGGAAGCAGTTTGTGTTAATGTTACCTTTTAACTTGTGCATTTGCCTCTATTGGGTTCTAAAATGTTACTAATTGATCATTAATTTTCAGGGCTATGTATCTAATTAGTGATAAGAAATATTTTTAATATTCTCAGAAATATATTTTAACCTTTCTTTCCAACATAGTTGTTTCCACTTTTTCTTTAAATTTCGTTTTTATTTAATGGAAGAACATACTTCTTTTTCTACTTAATGTATTCATATGCTATTAAACACATTTTAAATGCACTATAATTTGTGCCTTTTTAAACTTTGTCCCTAATAATGGAAAAAAACTATATAAATAGGTGTTATAAGTAATAGCACGTTTTGAAGCAAGGTGTTCAATTCCCCCACCTATTTAAAATATAATTTTGTAAATTCTAAAATATTTTTTTATCTAGACTGAGCATTTGGAAATATGCAATTTTTGTCTGAAATATTTGTTTGACCATAAAATGATATTATGACTTAAATAAGTATGTCAGAGTGATATCTCTGTTTTTGTTTTATTTCTGGCTGTATGATCATGGTTAGATATCCCTAAGATGTTGTTTTACTTGTGAATGTTATAAGGAAAGGCAAATGTTCTTATTTAGCAATTCATGGGTGTTCCTCCATGCCTATTTAATATATTCAAATATTTCTGAAAAGTTTGAATTAACCAAATTACACTTTAAATGTATCTACAGAAGCCCATTGTTCAAAGGAACCATTTGTTAATGATAATAACAATTTTGTATGACTACGATGTTATTTGTACCGTAAATCTTTATTCTCAACCTTATTTGCTAATATATAATAAGATCTTTCATTAATTTGGAGTACATCTATTAACTTTTTTGTTTATTTATTTTTGAGGAGGGGAGGGGCAGAGACAGAGGGAGACAGAGAATCAGAAGCAGGCTCTGGCTGACAGCAGAGAGCCTGATGCGGGGCCCGAACTCCGGAACCGTGAGATCATGACCTGAGCAGGAGTCGAACACTTGACCAACTGAGCCACCCAGGTGCCCACATCTATTCCTTTTGAAGTCACCATACATACCTTGGTCTATATTCTTCAAAATGTATTGCTGTGGTGAGAAGACTTCTGTATGTTAGAGACGATTCTGTAGGGCTGAAATGGAGAGGGGCGGAGCTCCAACAGGCTGCAAAAGAGAGAAAATGATTCCATTGCTGCTTCCTTAGTAAAGCCCCTCAGGGAAATATTTAATTGCTAATGATAGCAATCCAGCATGTACTAGCCTGAGCAAAACATGGATTCTTGTTTCCTTTAAGAAGCCGGCTCACAGAAAGGAAAGAGAGCTCACCGGAACCAGGACAATGGCCTGGACCTCAGCAATGCTAAGTGACAACCGAAATGTTACTCTCATTATTGCTCTCCTTTTCTTTCTGTTTGCAGGCTTCATCTTCTTGGACTTCTCCACATGGCCAGGATCATGAGCCAGAAGGACAGCCTCATTTCAGCCAGTTCCTGCCGACCAATCCTGGGTAAGGCTAGTGACTGATCCAGCTGCCATATGATTGGGCCTTAGGATTGCTCTGTGTGGTGACATGGACCCATGTCATAATAACGTTGGCTGTCTCCATCAGACATGACAGAGGAAAACTTATTACCAGAGAAAAGGGTAGCTATTCCTGGAAGAAGGTAGAAAGTGATTCTATGCACAGAAAGCTATCACGTGACAACTTTTACATTGGATTCAATCTGGATGCAATGTGGAAAATAATTCCAAATTAACTTAATTCCCTTACTGATAGGGTTAACCAGGACTGGCTCAGATGAGTCTTTATTTCATCAGATTATTTAGGAAAGTCCCACAATATCATCCTGAATACACTATGTACGAGTGACAACACTTTTTGATAAATTGTTATTTTGAATAATCTGATGTCAATCTGTAGTGAGGTTTCTAGTAGAATCTTTGTGCCGTGAAACATTACTTTTGTAAGTGTTTTCAAAGAAGAGAATAATTCAACAAGTTTTAACTAAAAAAAAACCTTTATGAGCAGGCACTATTCTAGGCTCTGCCAATACAAAGAATATTAGACAAAGTCCCTCCCTCAAGAAGCTTATCGACTGTTAGGGAAGACAAATACATAAACTAGTAATTAACTTAAGAGAATATGATTTTAAATATTTATTAGCCTGAGTTGAGGGAATGCAGAAAGGAATTCCCAGAGATGGTAACACCTGAGCTGAGTCTTGAAGCGGTCAGTTTGGAGGGAAAAGAGAAAGACTTTCGAAGCAGAAGCATTACATAAGCAATGAAGTGGGAATAGTATACATTCAGGCATTGGCAAGTAGTCCTGTACACTCAAATATCTATTAAAACTTGAAGTGAAATATAAATATATAAATTAAAACAAATTCTGTATTGGAGTAAGGATCTGTTTGGGGCAGTGAAGAGAGATGTAGCTGATGGGTAGTGACTAGATCTTTAAGGCTGTGTGAGACTCAGACAAGCCCACTCATGTTAGTCAGTGTAGCAGAGTGTGTTCAGGAAACTATTTGGATGATTTCCAGTTAAAGAAAGTAGAGTAAAGGCATCTCTATGTTGCTTCAGTAACTGAACTCAGTTATAAGCTGTAAAGAAGGGCTTCCCAACACAGCTGCATTGAGGGAGGAGGCTGAGAGTAAAAAACGTACCTTGGCAGACATCAAGAGCAGTATTCATAACCTCTGGGAATATTTCAAGAATACTTCCTTTGAAATAGGTAGATGCTGGGGTGTGGAACGACTGTGAGAATATCCTTGCACTCCACTTGGCACTTCCATGGACTGGCTGATGAGGCAGATGAATGAGGAATGAGTCGCGGGTTTCCCCAACCTCTCAACAATAAACTACTGGTACGACAGATTGCAGTGAAAAACGTGGGTGGTGTAGCTTGCGATTCTGGCCAGCTCCTACATCAAAACACACACACTTCTTATAAAGAAGGGGCTTCACTTTGAGTCAGTGAGAATTTCTGTTATGTGCTGAGTAATAGCCTTGGGAGAGAGTATTGAAGAAAGTGTCTGGAAGCAAACAAATGTCCAAGGCATTCTCTGACCCATCTCTCCTACTACCTGCCCTTCCAAGATTACCTTGGACAATATTCAACCAAAAATTGGCCTAGAAAAAAAATCAATCCCCTTTAGTTTATTTATTTGTTTAGAGAGAGAGAGATTGAGAGCACGAGTCAGGGAGGGGTAAAGAGAGAAGGAGAGATAGAACCCCAAGCAGGCTTTGTGTTGTCAGTGCAGAGCTTGATGTGGGGTTCTTCCTCACAAACTGTGAGATCATGACTTGAGCCAAAATCAAGGGTCGGACTCTTAACTAACCGAGTCACCCAGGTGCCGCCAAATTAGTCCCCTTTAAAAGACATTATTTAAACAAATAGAGTACGGTGATTGTATTATTTATGTTATATGTTACTACATCTAGCTAGACAATTCCATGCATAGGCTCTCTCTCCTTTGCTAGCTTTGAGGAAGCAAGCTGCCATGCCTCCTACCTCCATGAGGAAATGAGGGGACCTGGGTCCTTTCCCAGTCAGGTGGGCTCATACCTTGATTGTAGCCTTGTGAGCCCACCAGCAGAGGATCTAGTTAAGTCAAGCTGGGACACCTGACCCACAGAAACTGTGAGATTAAAAAAATGTCATTTTAAGCTGCTAAGTTTGTGGCAATTTGTTACACAACAGAAAACGAGTACAAATATATATCTAATTATTGATTTCTGACATTTAAAGTCTCATAGGTGACCTAAGCAAATAAAACAGTTTCTTGAAATAGAGTATGGGAGAAGTTGTACTGGGGGAAATTTAGGGGTTAGTTTCCGGAGGAATGAAAGTAACTCAGTGTGGCTGATCTCAGGAGAGAAAAAGCTCTAGAGGGAGGCAAAGAGAAAATCAGGGGAAGCTTTGTGATCCTTGCTGGGAACTGTAACTTGCTTTGGAGCAATGGGGAAACATAGTAGAACTTAATTTGTATATTAAATTGTTCACTCTAGTGGTTGTGAGAAATTTAGGTTTTTAAGAGAAAGACTGGAGTTGGGGGAATAGACATCATTTAGTAGAGAAGATGAGGGCTAGAATTAACAATTTGGCAGTGAAAATGGATAATAGAGGCCAGCAGTGTATCTGAATACCTATAATGACGGATTTGTTTGGCTCTGGTGACTCGCTGAATTTGGGGGTTGAAGAAAGGAGAAATTAACACTGAGGCTGCTGACTTATATGGCAAAGGTAAGCAATGATGCTAAAATAGTTTTCCACAGGCAAAATTATTCCCATGCAGACATAAAACACACACATGTTAAAGATTCCATTTAATTCACTAGCTCATTTAACCTACTAACTTGTTAGATAAACAGTAAGATGTTATAACCGGTTCACAGGACAACGAATGAATTAGGCAATTGGGACTGCCGAAATGAATTTGCTAATAGATGTAAACATATCCTACAGGACAATAACATATAATGTTTGGGATAATTGTTCCTATAGGGTGGAAATGAAACTGTCCCAAATTAATCTGTGAGTCTCTAGACAAAAACTGTTATTCCTGACTTTCTTCGATGTACAGAGTTGCAAACAGCCAGACAGGCATACAAGCGAATGCACAGACCGAGCATTCCATCGAAAGGACATCCAGTGACCTTTGGCCCATTTTGACTTTTCAGAGTTTCCCCAGAGGACGGCACCGCAGGTTCAGAAAGGAACACAGGACCCAGGAAACTCAGCATATCACTGTGAGAGAGAACAGCTCTCCTGTCCCAGCAGAGCTGAGAGGTCAAGAGGGCAGCTCCCACTTCAGCGGGTTTTCCTTTCACGGGTCCTACTTTGGATGAATTTGATGTGGTAGCAACTTCAGATAGGTCCCGGGAGTCAGCCCTAGAAGTGAAGGTCCATGTCCCCGCGCATAGCCCCGAGGGGGGCTGCAGGCCGGCAGAACGGTGCACTTGGCGCAGTACCACATCCAACATTAATGCAATTCAGAGTGTGGATTGGAGGAGGAGATGAACTAAATATAGGAGCTTGGGGCTAGGGTCCCCTGGCTCAGCAACCTGCAAAAGAAGCGACCTTTGTTCCCACTGGTAGCATCAGAAGTGCTGAGAGGATAGGGGAAGAAGGGGAGACCCCGGGCCACAGGAAGTTGGAGCTTCAAGGCCAATGCCACACCACCTCATCATTGTCTTCACACACTGGGGTGTGCTGTAACACGGCAGCTTCCTTTTAAAAAAGGTTCCATGAGAGCGCTGTCAGAAAAGAGGAGCAAGTGCATTGTATTCTCTCATTAAGTATTTATTGAGCAATTACCATGCTTAGGCAATGGACTGGTATTCCTATTACATAGTCTTTATGAAGAAAAACTAGAGGAAGACACATTTTAGGGAAAAATGAGTGCACATTCTCCTAACTTCTCCCTTTCTTAACATGAAAATGGTCCTGTATTATTTTATTTCACAGAAATTTCATTAAACATTTCCACCAGCCTTAACTGAGGGAATCCTGTGTGCCAGGTGTTACGCTCGGTCCTGGAGAATGATCATTAACCTCACAGACACAGTGTTTTTTCTCCAGTCTGGCTGGAAAGTAGTGATTACACAATGGTGCTGTAGCCTCATAAACATTATGCTGGGGGTGAGTACGGTGGGCTAGAGGCGGATCTATGGCAGACACTGACTCCACACCTGCACTCTACCTTCAGGCTTGGTCATATTCCTGTTGCAGTATTTTTTACCCAATACCCTAGATTCATTGTCTTGCCATTTCGAAGAATGAAGTGGTGGACATGATATGAGCAGCGGACAGAGTTTATTAGAGTATAAAATTGGTAAGAATAGTAGGAAAGCTCTCTTTACAGACAATAGGCAAGGGTCCTAGTTTATAAGGTTCTGGTCTCCTTCCACCTCCTTCCCTTCCCTCTTGTTCCTTCTCAAGTTCTACCCTTATTGGATGGATAACTCTAGCCATTACTGACTGGCTCATTTCCATTGGGTGGTCCATGGCCATCCCCTTCCGTGTGGGTCATAGGTTTTATGGTTTAGCTAGGAATTTTGATTGTCAGATTCCTGAGGGGAACCTAGGGGGGTTGGGAGTAGGTGGTATCTGTTACATTCTTCAGAAGGACATTATGCCCGAGGGGATTTGCTGTGGTCAGACATTCCCAGCATTGTTTCAAAGGATGTGTCTTTTCCCACCCAGGGACCTCAGGTCCTAATCCTTTCCCTCCCTGCCTATATTATCCTCTTTTTTCCCATTATATTACTGTTAGGGTATCTACAGTTTACTTAAAAGGTCTTTGATTTATACAGTGGATATCATGTGTGGAATACATGGGCTAAGCTACAACCCATTCAAAACTTGAAGGCTCAGTCCAAGACTGATCAGCTAACATGACATCAGGAAAGTCCACACTTTAGAGGTGCTGATCAATCAAGTTGATTGATGTTTGAAGCTTTGCTAATTTGCATACTAATGTCAGAAAT